TTACCCACATTCTTCAAAATATATTCTGTTGTTTTCAGTAATTTAGTGACCTAAAGTTTGAAACAACAAGGGTTAGTAAATCATAACATAATTTTTCTTTTTGGGTGAACTCTCCCTTCATATATGCAGATAGTTTTTCTAGGGAATGTGAGTGAAGCATGGATGGAGGTGGAAGGTCTGATGGGGCGTTAAGTTGATTTTAACGGAAAACTGATACATTAAATATTTTATGATCTACAGCTGCTATTTCACAGAAATCACAATGTTACAATGTAAATAGACATTTTTTGTTCTAAATGAAAATTATTAATAGGCATTTAAAGAAGCTCTTTAATTTTCTGATTTTGAAACCAATTAATTATCTTTTATAAAAATCTTTATACATTTATCAGTACATTAGTCCATGTTTAATGTTGAGCATATTCAGCACTGATCAGTGGTGTGATCTACAGTCTTTTGCTAAAATTATTTTAATAGAGAGAGATTCATTTGCATTGTCAGCACATGCTTCAGTGCTCTGAGAGTGTTTATAGTGCTGTGAGTTTAACACTTCATGACTGAGAGCAGAACAGAACACAATATTCATCATCACACAAGACAAAACAACAACAATGACCAACATCATCATCCTCATCTGGAGACTGACTCTTGGCATTCAAGGTAAATATTTTGTAATTAATTACATTTCAAAAATAAACAATCACATCTTATGTACAGTCCATGAACCACTAAATGACTAAAATGTCTTATTTCAGAGATCTGGGGACAAGTGACAGTGACTCAGAATCCAGAAATAAAATCCATCAAACAAGGAGAAACTGTTACAATCAACTGTAAAACCAGTCAGTTGACGTCTAACTGTAATGAATGTGTGTCTTGGTATCAGCAGAAACCTGGAGAAGCTCCTAAACTCCTCATATATTACATAAACAGACTTCAGTCAGGAACTCCATCCAGATTCAGTGGCAGTGGATCTAGATTTGGAAGTGATTTCACTCTAACCATCAGTGGAGTCCAGACTGAAGATACAGGAGATTATTACTGTCAGAGTTACCACTACATCAACAGTAAAAGTGTGTTCACACAGTGATAAAGAGTCGTACAAAAACCTCCGTCAGGCAGA